TTGGCTTTTTTTATGCTTTGTGATGCGTTGTCCGGCTTTAGTTGTTTTATTTTTGCTATTTTTTGGACGCTCTGTCGATACGATGTGCTTGAGATGAAAAAGATTTTTAAAAGGCTCTTGAAGATTTCTCAGAGTTCTGTTCTTTTTTAAAACCTACTTGGAAAACTCTAAACCTCTCAAACGCATTTCTTACGTATTCAGCATTGCTTTTTACCTAGAAAACCACAATAGCAGTGCTCTAAATGGAAATATCACTGAGTTATGGGCTCATCATGTGAAGGATTTTGCGAAAACTCGCACTTCTCAGTCTTTGCCTAATTTCTCCTGAAAGGAAAAACGTTTTGAAAAAAACCAAACATACTTTTGTGAAGCAAGGCAAGGCAAACCTTCTGGCGTATGAAAGAACTATCTAGCTCTCATGGCAAAAAATTAGATAGCATTGAGAACCTCAAGGCTCGAGCGATCAGTGTTTGATCAGCTACAAGAGTTTAAGTCTCGAAGAAACGTCATCGAATGACAAGTGCCTAGATGTGCTTCGCGATGCTGAATCCGAAAATCGTACTGGTGAGAGTGAAAAATGAAAAGATCAGGAGATAATCAGGATTTTTCTGAAAAATCGTTTTTTCGAGGTTTTTGACGCCGTCACAGTACTTTGAGGTTTTCTGCATGAAAAGTCGATCAAATCGAAAAAATAAGGTCAGATTCGTGATCAGCAGCGTCCGACAAACCAGAATATGTCTTTGAAATTTCAAAAACTTTTCCACTTGATTTTTGAATTAGCGACACTTTATATAAAACTATTTCCTTACAGTTTATTTCAGAAAAAAATGGCTTCTTCTCGTCGTGCATACAAGCAGTCATTAGCTGCCTGCGCTCGTGAAACAGCATCCAATGCATCGTTTGTTCCGGTTCTACTAAAAGAAGATCCTGAACACTGTTCAACTATAAAATTTGCTGAAACACTGGAACATTTATCTGATATCTGTTCAAATTTACCTGATGATGAATTATCTACATATATTGAAAAAGTTTATAAACGAATGTTGAATATTCTATCAGAAAAGACAATTGTGTTAGATCCTGAAATGATCAACAGTGTTATTCTTCGATATATTCAAAATTATCCACAATTATCAATATTAACAATGGATGAATTAAGAACAATTTCTAATATCCAGTTAGAACAACGTTCAATCGTAGTTCATTTTGATTTAAGTGGTTCAATGTCGTGTGCCGGTTTTTCACCATTGGTTAAAACGATCACAGATATATTAAAAAATATTAAAAAACAAAATAATATTGAGGTATATTTCTCCTTATTTGGTGGTAGTACGCAAGAAGATGTCCATCGAGTATTAGGAGAAAGATTATTGACATTAGATGAATTTTGTGCTGGTAATTATAAACCTGGTGGTGGTACAGCTTTTTGTCCATCATTTGCCCGTACAAAACATTTTTTAAAACACGATGCAATCATTATCTCAGATGGTGAGTTTACAGATAGTATTACACAGTTGTCGTTTCAAGATAATTGTGAAACAGTCTTTTTTGTTGCACCACCATGGTCACCCAGTGGTATTGAACAAAAACATGCAAGTGCTATTGCCAAATGTGTCCACTCAAACGTTGCTTATATTGGTGTAGCATCTGGTCAGTATAAGCAATTGGAAACAACACTTGAAGAATTTTCAAAAGGTCTTGGTATCGTTTCACGACTGCCTGGTTTCTCTACGATTGGTACATATTTAATTCCAACAATTCTTTTATTACCAACGCATATGAAGAAAACATTGGACATATGTTTGTTGAAAGGCGAAGATACATTACAAATACTTACAAAAAAAATTATTGGTCTATTTCGATATTTAGAAGAAACATCAAAATTAAGTTTTGAACGGTGTATACGTGGTGATGAATTTCGACAATTAATGTCATTATTAGTACCGATTAAGAAGTTAACATTTGCACATTTAGAAACAAGCTTAGCGTCACAACAATTGTATGGTTATTTATCAAAACTATTAGATAGTTTTGGAGATCAATATAATCGGCTACTTAAAAGTTATTCAAATGATAAAAATAAAAATGAATTAACAAAACTATGGGATGATGCAATGAATGTCAGTGAACGAGAACTGATTTTTGAAGAAAATAATGAAAAATATGGACAGCCAGTGGGATATCTAAAAACGGAAGTGACAAATATGGATATAACACCAGATATGTTGGCTGCAGCGCTTCATCATTTGAAAACAATTTATTCTATGATGGACACAGATCTTGTTAATGTCATCTTTGGGATATTAATCAATTGTAAAATTGCTGAAACATCAGCCGGTCCCCAGGACACTTGGATACCCGTTTGGAGTAAACCATCTGATGGTACAATCGATCTTTTGTCAATTATTCGTCTATTACCCACATGTCTCCGTCAATTACAACATTTTCTGGGTACGACATGCGATTCCGACTGGACTATTCAACCAATGACAGCCATTAGATTTGCATGGATTATGGATGTATCTGGCCACTTGTTTCCAGATTTTGTTATGCAATCACTTCCCACTCTTGTTCGTTCAAATGCAAATCTCATCGATTTAGATCAAGATGAGAATCGTTCCGTATTCTGGTTAAAAATTTTACAGAGTTTGGCAGTAAAGCTTTCTCTATCAACTGAAACCTTATTATCAATTAAGCACATTCTTATTGTTAATTCATTGAAAGGTTTTCTACTTCGTCTAACAGATACTGTTGTTAGATATGAACGACAAATTTATGAAAATGTTTCACCTTACATTGACACAAATGAACCAAAGGCATGGTGTGTATTTGTCGATCAAAATGGGAACATGTTGAATGCCGAGACAGGTGTAGTCGTTGGACTGACAAATATTGTTAGTGATCCAAAAATGGTTCAAAAGTGGTATGATACAAATTTTTATAAGAAAGGGGCTGTTGTTCGACCAAGATATTTAACCTTAATAGATAATCCTAATTTAGCACATGGATCAATCGAATTGTATAATTCATCCGCACCAAAAGATATCGATATACTTCGTGAACAATTGTTAACATTAGGTTATTCAACTGTACAAATTGATGCACATATAAACACAACTCGTGATAAAATCAAACATATTCCACGTGTTATACAAAATCAAGATCCATCGTCTGTGGTGCTGGCATCACAAGGTGCCTGTCAAGGCGCCACTATACCAACAGAAACAATTACCATCAACATATCACGTGCAATTATTATTGAATATTTATCATCACAATGTAATGATGCATTTATTGCTGGAGCAATGCGGGCTTTTGGCGAATATTCACGTGTAGATCATACTCAATATCCAAACGAAATTGACTATGCCATTGGTTGTGGTTTAAAATCCAATTCGAAAATAACTCCACAAACACCTTTTCATCATTTAGATAAACTAGATGTTCAGAAAACTCTCCTTCAATACCAAGAACAATTCGAGAAAACAATCAAATCTATCGAGAAACCAATCGTATTTACTCCTCTAACAATTCAAAAAGCAGCTGCTCAAACTGCAACAACCACAGCCATCACCACTAGCAGCATTCAATCGATTCCGACATCACAATCAACACCAATGAGTGAAGAATTGTTTACATGTCCCATAACTCAAGACATTATGGAGAATCCATCATCCACAGCACCATGCGGTCATATGTTTGAATACGATGCAATTAATGTTTATTTGAAAACAGTAATTAATGAATGTCCAATGTGTCGAACACAAATCACAAGTGTTACACCCAATTACGCATTCAAAAGTGTCATTCAAAGCTGGAGAGCTAATCAACAACCCAAATCTTGACAACATTTACCTCTGTCATTTTGTATGAAAGACGCTTAAACCAAAGCTTAAAATGTTAACTGTGGAAGATAAAATGAAATAAAATAAAACGTTGCCTAACGATTGCAAATATTTTCATGTTTACTAGAGATTGTTTCCAATGAATATTTTATCAATTAAAGAACTTTTAAGGCCTCTCCCCGGGTCAGAAACCTATCTCAGCCAAGGTAGGTCCGATCTGAGCCAAACTCTCAGGGAATGTTGACCATGTCAAAGTATGGTAACAAAATATTTTTTTGGCGTCACTAGCAATTGTTCGTAAGAGGGCGCCTTTTAGTGTTTTAAAAATAGGCGTCTGCCATTCACAAGAATTCTCACTTCAGGTAAATGACAGAGAGCTTGAGCTGATTTTGTTTTGCAATAAACATCTGTGGACAACTTTAAAATCCGAAAAATCCTTGGAAGGTTTCTTAGAAATCCTCATTTCTGCAAAAAAACGGAAGCATAATTTAAAAATCGGACTCGGTCAACTCCTATCTATAGGTGTTATCTACAGATCAAAAAAAAGAAAAACTTCCTCTGATCTAGCGTTACCGAGAATTCCTGTGAATGGCGAAAGCCCTGAAGCTAAAAAACAGTCTTAAGAAAAACGCAAAATAAGTTCTGATTCTGTTAAACGCATTTTACTTAAAAATTGTTTCAGCGTTAAATAATTTGTTATTATTGTGCTACAGGTTATCGGTCATGGCGGATCTAATGAACACGTGCGCGGTCATGTGCGGCACATGCATGCGCTTATGCAATAAAAGTGCAAAAAAGCCAAATTTTATTGCTATGGGCCTTAAAGCTGCAGTTTTCGCAAATGTTTATCAGAATATTTTTTTCAATACGACTAAAGAAATTTGAGAGAATCAAGTTAAGTACATCTGATCCTAGCTTATTGGCCATGGCTCCTGTAGAACCTATGCTTAATGTTGTCTTCAGCGATCCATTCAAAATATACGATTGTATTTGTTCAGATACAGATTTTCGTTAAAGTACAAATTTGTGCATACAGATAATTCATAGTTAAAACCACTTCTTCAAATTTATTTTCTATTCGGCAAAAGTTTGAGAGTGGCAGAGAGAAAAGTTGCAATAAATTCTAGAAATAGTGGCACTTCAGAAATGAGAAAAAGAAACTTTAATGTATTCGAGCGAATAGCACAAAATAATTGGACTTGTACTATTTTCAAGTAGAACTACCACTTCAAAGCATCTTCCTATGAAATGTGTTTTTGTCCAAGAACATCCCACCTTGACAAATGTGGAAGAATATACATAGCTTAGAATATTCGTTTTATCTTAAAACGATGATATTAAATGCTAAAACACAAAATGTTGAATTGTCCCGAGTAATCCTAAAATAACGATCCAAAACTTAGATGTTCCTTCGGCAAAGATTTTCCTCCCATTTTGAGCACTAGGCATGTGCTGCTTTAGATAATCTTAAAATGTAGTCAAGATTTGGCGCTACAACTTAACAAAGTCCAATTTTTTAATTTCCCAAAGCTTTTATGAAAAAAAGCTATAAAAGTTTGCGATTGGCTTATCAGAAAACTTGATTTTTCTTAAAAACTCACCGTTGAATTCAGAAGTGGTTACAACTATTTTAAACTCCACAGTGCAAACACTGAATTGAAAATCAAACCTCTTACTCTGTTGTATTTCAGCGGCAAATCTTGGCTACATCTTGAGATTACTCCGAGTTTTTTAGCACTCAAAATGGGTGAAAAATCTTTGCCACATGAATAGCTAAACAAAAACAAGGTGCATATGTTAAGGCACTTTATGACTCACAAGAAAATGGAAGACTACGCAGTAGGTTAGTTCAGATTCATACAGTGTCTTATTTTAACAAGAAAAGGTTGCGCTAGAAATTCACATGGTAAGAAAATAGTACAATTGAGAAAGCATCGACTGAAATACGGTTCTTTGGGCGCTCTGGAGAAAACTTGTATAGATTGAAGCTACTTTACGAAGATGACACATCATATCAGAGAAGTATTCATAACGCATGGTAGATAGTCCCTAGCGAACACCGACCGAAGGGAGGTGTAAGCGTTGTTTCGACGAACTAGGCCAAACGTTGCCCTCACTCAGATGTTGATATCAAGAGTAAGAAGACTGATAGATTCGTCCATTTCGAACGTCTGTATAGCACATGAAAGCAAATCAAATTATAGAGTCTCGATGAACTACAGAAATTCTGAGAAACTTTTCTTACCCGTGAAAAGCTATAGCAACTACTCCTATAAACTACGATGGAAAATATGCAAGCACTCATCGTAAAAATACGCATCAATTCTGTAGTAATAAGATCGGGCTGCAACTGAATGAAATAATATTCGCGACACGACATTCATTCGACTTACAGTCAGTGGACTTAGTGAATCGTATCGATTCACGTTATTTATAATTATTACCCGTCGTTAAAATCGCTTCATTCTGGACGATTATTTGGAATTAGCAATAAAGTCGCCAATTAATCGCAATTTTGACTATAATAGTTGGTATAAACTTTATTTGAAAAAGAAAATCTTAATACAGATCGAAATCGCGATCCAATGGATCACATTGTATCAATTTGCAACAGAGTCTTAATGAACGGATGAGTAGAAAAGTTAACAAAGAGACATACAAAAATGAAAGGAGAATTGGAGAGAGGAAGAAAAAGATTGATCAGTTGCAGAGGAATATGATTAAGGAAGAGAATATGATAAGAGATGTTGAAGAGTAGAGTAGAGTAGTGGTGGTGATCAGATGACCCTGCGGACAAAGACAGAGAGACGGCTTCTAATTAATTCGTACAGACATGAGATAGGAATGCATCAGCTTTGGAATCAAAATACAGCAAATCAGGTAAGACACATTAAAAGCGTTTAGTATCCGAGATAAAATCACATATACAGTCATAAACAAAGAGAAATGTCTTATTATTTGAAATACCATTCAAGAGAATAGTATCCAGGTCTAGTTTGATGCCCGCATTATGGAATTTTGAGAATAATATATTTCGTGCATGATTATAATGAGGGCATTTAAGAAAAAAGTGTTTCATGTCCTCAACTACTTGAACGGAGGGTGATAAAAGTAAGTAGTTTTCGCAAAGACTTTTCGAGACAAGTTTATGCTGCTTTAGATGATCATTTAATGCACAGAAATCGACTCTTAGTCGACAAAATAGCGCATCAATTCTCCGATTCAGCAGACAGGGTAATTTGTTTGCAGGAGGTAACAAATGGTTTTTAACTTCTATGCAGAATTTATAAGGTTTCGATTTATTTTGAAAGTCAGGTCTTTGTGAAAGTAGTTCGGTTCATTCTTTAATAGCAGTTGGAAAGAAAGAATTCTGGAAGAAAACACTCTTGTCTTTATAATCATACAGTTGCTGGCTGCTGTTGTTTCTTAACGGATATTTCGTGTTCTTTGGTTCCGTAAACTCAAAGTATTGATTGGGTGTTCTAATTAGTCCAAAGTAGTACTTAAAAAACATGCACATTCTATTGACAAAGAACAAATTAGAAAATGGTAACCAGCCTTGATCCTTGAGCAATTTTATCTTCGAGGTACCTTTAATAGCCCCACTCACAGTTAGACATAGTTGATACTGACAACTCTCGAGTCTCAAAATATTTCTCTGTGTAGTTAACGAGTAAACCTCACTTCCGTAGTTCACTACAGATTGGGCAAAAAATTTATATACGCAATTGAGCGCAGCACGATTGAGATTCCATTTAACAAGGCGCATATAATTATGAGTTGAATTAACTTTGCCGATAACGTAGTCCCCATGGGAATTTCAAGGAAGATTAGAAGCAAAAAATAGTCTAAGATGCTTATGGATCGTTACTTCCTTAACCGGTTGCTGTTGGATTATTAGAGGAGGAAAAGAATTCGAAGTAATTGCTCGTTTTGAGACTAGCTGAGCCTCACATTTATCAATATTTAAATAAATTTGCCATATTACACACCACTGTAATATCTTTTCAAGATCTCTATTTAATATAGCTGTAGAGTGTTGAAGAGTTGAGCCATAGTGAAAAAGAGAGACATCATCAGCATAAAGTTTATAGAAGGACCGAAGATTTTGGGGTAAGTGATCAACATAAACAAGAAAAAGTAGTGGACCCAGGATGGAGCCCTGAGGAACCCCGCAATTTATCTCTAAGACATCAGAAGCAAAACCATCTATTACTGTCCTAATCTTTCGTCTCTTTAGGTAATTCTCTATCCAACTTACAACCTGTTCATTAACACCTTTTTGTCGAAGTTTAAAAATAAGACCTCTGTGCCACACCGAATAGAATGCTCTAGAAAAGTCAAGAAAAATTGCCCGCACAAAACCAACCTCTTCTAAACTTTCATGAATGTAATGTATTAGGCTAAGTAGTTGGTTTACGCAAGAATCCCGTTTCACGAAACCAGATTGATGAGCCGAAATGAGTTTATTGGAAAAGAGATAATTATAAAGATAAGTGAAAATTACCCTTTCCATTATTTTACCTATAATCGGTAACAGGGTAATTCGTCGATAATTTTCTACTTCGTGTGGGTTACCTTTCTTGAAAATTGGGGTAATGTTGCCTATTTTCAGAACGTCAGGGAAGACAGAGAGCTTTAAACTAGAATTTAGCAGATCACAGATGATAGGTGCCAGTACGAGTGTAGATTCTTTGGTTATTCTTGAAGTTAAACCCTCAGCAACTGCCTTATTTGGCTCGATTTTATTCATGACTTTTATTACATCTACAGATGAAACGGTTACAGATGACATTCTAACTGCAGTTGTAAAGTGGAAAGGTGGAAGGTTTTTATTTATTTGGGTTGGAGACATAACACAGTAGAAGCAAAATAGTTATTAAAAAGCCTCACCTTCTCTTTAGGGTCATCAGTATCTGGACCATTTAGTGTACTGATCGACCGTATAACGCTTGTCTTATTTCTACATAAGGCCTTATATACTAGTGCCCACCAGGCTTTGCTTGAGGAAGAAATTTTTGTGGATATTTTCTTGTAGAGCTGGTCTTTAACCACAATACATGCATTCTCGAATTCATCTTGCTCTGCTTTCGGTTTTGCCTTATCTCCATCACTCTGTCTATTAGATAAGCGTCTAAACATCTTATTTCTTTTCCGATATAGTCTTCGGAGCTCATCAGTGAACCATAACTTGTCGCTTTTGCATATCCTAATGGTTTTGTTGGGTATGTGACACTTAGCAACATCCAAAATGACATCCGTAAAGCACTCCACTCTCTCGTCCACACTATTCATGTTTTTTAGTAGTGTCCGCCATGGTACTAGACTTAAGTTATTCCTAAAGATACTCCAGTTTGCTGCTTCATAGTTATATACAAGTCTTGTGCTTGCCTTATTCTTTCTGGATTTTGTCAACAGGTGGAAAGCTATTGCAGAATGATCACAAGTTGTCGTAATGTTGTGTACAACCTCAGCATGTCTAACCCCCACCAAGTTACTAACTATGAGGGGATCTAAAAGTGTGTTTGAACTTATCCTAGTCGGCTTATCAATTAACTGGAAAAAGCCAGAATTACTCACAAAATTTCTTAAACTTGAACCTTCAACTGTTGTAGGTTTTGTAGACGCACTACACCACTCAGCACAGTGTGCATTGAGATCACCTGTGATAATAATTGAGTCAAAGTTTTGTTTTCTGGAAGCGACTATCACGAGCCTTTTTTTAATGTTACTTAGAAACTCAACAATATCGCAATAATCAGGGCGATAACAGAGTATAAGAAGAAAACGTTGTTTGGCCGATATTGTCAAAGCAAAAAACATACGCTCAAAGCTATCATTTTCAAACTGGTCAAGATTATAGTTAAAATATCAGAGGAGAGTACTTTTCGCAAATCGACGATGATGCTCATTTTGTAAATTATATAACTCAGCCAAAATAAGCCAGAAGAAAAAGAAATTTTTTCATAACTCCAGTTTTGATAGTAGAATCCGAATATAAAATAAAAGTATATGTCAATTTTTCACTCGTAACCGGTCTTTGGCAAGATACTCGATCGACAGGAGAAATCTTACTTAATTGAGAAAAAAATATTCCTTCGTTCTGTAAAAGTAATCAACAGGAAGTACAATTAAGACATGATATTAAAGAAAAGCATTGATATATCATAATTTCAAACGTCTTTTTTTCCACCAATCTCAAAAATATACTCATACGCTACGCGTCGCGTCTTACATTAAAATCTTCGAACTCTATTCCACCAATAGTTAATGCTGTTTTCTTCGAAAGATAAACTTACCTTATACATTGGCAATGTATAAGGTACAACGAGCATACTTTTCATTTATTCGCCGTAATGCATATTTGTTTCTACCCTCATGTAGATGCTTTTTACCGCTACGGCTATCATCAATTGAAACTTGCATAAATTTTGATTTAAAGAAGAACGAGCAGCATCTCCATTTTATAGAGTTTGATGAACAATCTGTTGTTTTAGACGTTCATATCCGAAACCTTGACCTTGAATTTAATCATTAGCCCTTTTCTGAAAAACTGACAACATTCGCATTCTAAGAACACCTCCGAACACTTTGATTTGGTTTGTAATAGAGAACTGTATCATCTTATTCTTTCCTTTCATTAATAAAATCTGATTACTTATAGAACGGACGAATATAATTTTTCTTTTCTTAATTAAGTGGCTTGCAAAATGGGAGGTTTTTTTCGTTTATTTTTGACTTGTAAAATGGGAAACTGAAAAATATATCAGTAGTCAATTAGCTTGCAAACTGGGAGGATACTAATGTTTTACTATTTCTTTTTTTTATAAGAAGCAAAACTAACGAAGATGATTAAATTGACATGGAAATTTTCATCTATAATTGCCATCTGTCGTTTTTCAATACTCATTAACAAATACATTCAATTTTCATGTACATGTTTTTTTTCTTAATGTGCATATTTATTTGACGGTAAGCAGGTAGTGACAAGGCAATGATGATATGATTTGATTCGAATGTATATTTTCTTATCATGATTAATAGATACATTTCAAAAGAGAGAACCACTTTGTCATGAGTTTGTCACTTAAAGTAAAGATGGTATTACTATGAATTAAATCTAACGTATAAAGCACGACTATTATAAAATCAGTTTAAAATATTCGTGTCTGATGGACATAATTCATCAAAGAACATCTCTTTCTCAAGATGGAAATATAAATAATACATATACTATTACTATTGATGATAATGAACGTGAATTAACGAATAAAGAAAATGTAAATCCTCCTGAGGATATTGTGACGAACCTTAGTCTATCGAAAACATTCCATAATTTATTTAAGAATTATCATTGGCGTATGCGTCATTATTTTTATATCCATGTACTCCTCTTCGTTCTATTTGGACTTCTAGGTGGTATGATTATTTATTTCATTGAACTGAATAATAAACTCATAGCGGTACATTACGTTGATGCTTGGTTTGTCTGTTCTACTTGTGTTTATAATTGTGGTTTGACAACAATTGATTTTGCGCGTTTAACACGTGTTTCACAAATATTTCTTATGTTTGTCACATTTTTTTGCGGTATTACAATCACGACATTGCCAGCATTGATTATCAAAACACGAACACATAGATCAACAGCGAATATCAATGTAGATGATGATCATGGAGATGCTAACAATGATGATGGATTACCTATGACAAACTTAAATCGAGATCAAGTTACGAAAAAAAAATTAAAATCACTACCAACAGTAGATCAATTACGATACCGAGCATATATGACAACAATTTTTCTGATACTGACAACATGCTTCACAATTTATGGAATTACATTTATTGTTATCGGTGCTTGGATTGAGAACAAATATCATCCTGAACAACTTCTACAAGATGGAAGAGCTATTAATGGATGGTATGCATCATTCATTATAACTGTGACAGGATTCAATCAAAACGGTTTAACGCCTTGGTCTGATAGTCTAGGGCGATTTGCTAAAGATGTATATATGAATTTATTCGTGATACTTGTAAGTTATATCATTTTGTGGTATACGACTAAATGATCTATCTTATTTGCCTAGGTTGTGATATTTGGTACATCATTGTTTCCATTTTTACTGCGTAATGTTGTTATATTAGCCAAATTTATTGTTCCATGGCGACATAAAATTGTTCTTGATTATATCTTACTTAATAATCATCGTTTATCTACATTATTATTTCCAGCAGTTCAAACACGTATTTATCTTTTAATCACATCACTCTTATATATCATTGGTGTTAGTATATCACTCATATTAGATTTGAATAATAAAAATTTTGCTCTATATGCGGATGCTAATCAATTTCTCATCTTTCTATTTCAAACTGTTATGACACGTTTTGCCGGTTTCACTACCATAGATATTAGTTCTTTAGCAGCAGGAACATTGATTGTTTATCTATTACTCATGGCTGTTAAACCACAAATGTTATGTAGTATCGATGAGACACCCTTTGAACTTGAATGGATTGCGCTGAAAACTCAGGATGAAGTGAATGAAAAAATACAACCTTTAAAAGCTGCCGATCAAGAAGAAGAAACAGAGGCTGATGCGAATCCACGTGCATCAGGAAATTTGGCGTTTCCTATTCGTCAGATGAATCGATTTTTACGCCGACAATCATTACAAGCTAAACTAATGGCAAAGGATCATTTTTTTAATGAAGCCAAAAGTCGATGGAATACAAGACAGGGCAGTAAGATTAGTGTGACAAGGAAAAATGGTGTGAGAAAACGACCGTCTGTTAATATAGCATGGATTCGTTTCCGCTTATTTCTTGTATTTTTTACTCGTAAAATAGTTGTTTATACATTTAACTTTCTAATTGGTACACGTACGTGGTTATTTCTGTTTATCTTTTTGGCATGTTGTTTTGAATCACATCATATAAGTCCGGTGGATGAAAATATCACCGTATTCAAAATTATATTTGAAATTATTAGTGCATTTGGGGCGTGTGGTCTTACGTTAGGCTATCCAAATGTCAGTTCAAGTTTTGTTACGGTGTTAACAGTCCCAAGCAAAGTTATTTTGATTATCACAATGCTAATGGGACGACATAGAGGATTACTTGACTCAATGAAAGATCAAGAAAAAATTGATTGTAGTGCAGCGAAGCTTCTGGAAATTTGGAAACAAGCAGTTTTGGAGGAAGTAAACGATGTTAGTACATCGAATTTAAAAGAAATTGTCACATCACAGGATGATCAATTTTAGCTTAAATTCATACGCAACATAAAGCATACCATATTTGCAGCTTTTGTTTTTCATCATTCATTTTCATGACTTAGTGGATATACATTCTTTCGACATTTGAACATAAAATGAAATTATCGTTCTCATTTACTATTGGGACGTTCGTGTAAAAGTGCTTTTTAAAAGCGGGATGAAGTTACAACAAGCCCCATGCAGAAATACGCATGAAAATATATATGTGCTGGTACGAGTGGACCTGAAACAGATCTCAAATATAGCGTTCTCATCCAGCTAAATATGAATATTCTCTCCATTCAAGTCCGATAATGCGTCCGTCATTCATGAACTGAATGCTATTCAAGAGAATATTTCACTAATAAAATACACATAATTAAGACAATTCTGTGTATTCATTTTAGAATGAGGCTGGAAGATGGTACTTATAGTCGACTAGCCGTGATGAATCGAATTGGTCATAAGCAATAATCAACGAGTATTTTCATCTATCGAATTTTTGTTGACAGTTTAGACGAGGAACGCACTTAAATAACGATCTCACTGATGATACCCTAGAAATGAATATTTCTGTTGATAATAATCATACAGGCTTAACATTGTGGAACATTGGGTACTTTTAATTTCTACGTTTCAGTTCTGTGTTAGGTCCTTCTCACATTTGAATTCCAATTTATACTAAATATGGTACATCATAACTATATCTAGACTAACTAAATGAATGATGAATTGTCAAAATAGTTCCTATTCATTTGAATGGGAACGAGAATAGCATGTCCAACTCCCTGAACCGAATGCTAATTGTACCACTTCTCGCTACGAGTAGGGGATTTTTACATCTACATACCAATAAGAAAAAAAATTCTAAGAACGGCTATATATATTTCTATACGTATATAGGTGTGAGAAATTTTACAATATTGTATCGCATTTTATGCATACCTGTGACTAGAAAATTCCTAAGAGTACTCAATCTACTCGTAAGTAAAAAATTCATAGCTCCTCTAAAACTTAATTGAGAAGCGTAGAATTACAGATCAGAGGTGGTTTGATACGGGCTACAAAATGGTTGACTCAGCAAGTGTTTTCAAACAATTTTAATCTTCGGATCTTTGCTCGATAGAAAATGTTTAAAGAATGCTTATTTTTGTCTTACTGTTTAATAAATATAACTTTTTCCGTAGAAACTCATGGAACAAACATTCCCATGTTTCAACAGGCTATAAAAGACACAGAATATTAAGAGCAAAAGAACTCTCCTTTTTCTTCTTCTTAACAATGCTAGAGGACTTTTAGAATCAGGGTGCTGTTACTGATTTACTAGTGTCCTTTAAGAAATGTAGTTTCTATACAGAAAATGTTGGTTTATGGTATCCCAAATTAGTGTAAATTAAACGAAATAGAGAATCGTTCTGATCTGCTGAAATAAAAATAGTTTTTTTTTGTTATGTGATTAGAAATTGAGTTACCTTCTTTTCTCTTGCTTATTTGATAAAAGAACGAAGCAGTACATTCTTTGTTTTTCTAATTACTATTACCTACTTTTCCTTTTAATGATCTTATTTGTGTGAACCGATATCTCGTATTTTAGGTACCGGTATTTCGGTATGAATACCTTGATCGGTGCACACGCAACTGTGAGGTGAAAGAACTTCTATAGCAGCTGTACATAGGTCACCCGTGCAGCTGTCTACTAAAGATTCCAAAGTGTAAGATCGTGACGAATGGAAACTTCAGTTTCTTTACCGTTTCTTGAATAGCCTACAAAGGTGAATAGAAAGTTTATGGAATTAAAATCCATAAATATGTTTCATTGGCTTACATTTACATGTTCCAGGTTTCGATAGGCAATAAAGGACACAGAATAGTACGACCATGTGAGCGTAAACGTAAGCCAATGGAACATATGTATGGATTTTAATTCCATAAATTTTCTGTTCACCATTGTAGGCTATTCAAATACTGTCACATGGTCGTAATATTCTGTGTCCTTTATTGTCTATCGAAACACGGGAATGTTTGTTCCATGAGTTTCTACGAAAAAAATTAAATTTATTAAATAGTAAGACGAAATTACTTGAGAAAACTTTATGATTCGGATGGGTTTTGAATAGATCTAGCAAGTACACCACTTGCAGAGCGGATTTTGGACCTGATTCTTTTACCAATACGTGTTGTCTGCAAATTGGCGAAAACCAAATGACTTTATCTTTTGTGTATCAATAGTTATTCTTCAAAGGGTCTGGTTCACTACATTTTGAAATGGATGACACATT